GTGTTACCATTCGTACCGATCGAACCATTGGTGATATACTTATTCCGGTCGTCTTGAAGGAATTCAATTGGTGAATGATTAACTTGCTTTCATTGGTATGAAATAGAGAAGTTGTGCAATCTTGTTCTGGTGGGATCTGTTCTAGTAAYGCAATTCATGTTTGGGTGAGAACCGGTATCCCTGTGCATGTGTGCCATCATCTCTGTTAGGACTTAAAATTCTCACCATTCGTCCCTTATACCAATGGTTCGAATCGCCATTAAGACAGGGATCCCATTTGAACAGATTTTGACTGCAAATGACTTCTTGAAGTCAGAATGAATCTAGAATTGACCACCAATAGAGACGAATGGAGTTAGACTATTTACCATTCGAGTCTATTCGTCTATATTGGCCATGAGAGTGGCAGTACATGGCATACATGGCAGTACATGGCATACGTGGCAGTATATGGCATACATGTTAGTACATGGCATACATGGTAGTACATGCCATTAAGACAGGGATCCCATTTGAACAGATTTTGACTGCAAATGACTTCTTGAAGTCAGAATGAATCTAGAATTGACCACCAATAGAGACGAATGGAGTTAGACTATTTACCATTCGAGTCTATTCGTCTATATTGGCCATGAGAGTGGCAGTACATGGCATACATGGCAGTACATGGCATACGTGGCAGTATATGGCATACATGTTAGTACATGGCATACATGGTAGTACATGGTAGTACATGGCATACATGGCAGTACATGGCATACATGGTAGTACATGGCATACATGGCAGTACATGGCAGTACATGGCATACATGGTAGTACATGGCATACATGGTAGTACATGGCATACATGGTAGTACATGGTAGTACATGGCAGTAGATGGTAGTACATGGCATACATGGTATGTCATGTACTGCCATGTATGGCATGTACTACCATGTATGCCAAGTACTGCCATGTATGCCATGAACTATCATGTGCCGCCATGCATTGCTATGCATACCATGTAGTGCTATGTACTACAATGTACTGCCATGTGCAGCCATGCATTGCTATGTATGATGTATGCTATGTACTAACATGTRTGTCATATAAYTGCCGTGTATTGCAATGTATTATGCACTATACAATCATGTGTATTATGTACATTTGGTGAGTGCATGTGCCCTATAATTGGTGAGAAGTTATCATGGACTCACTACCCATAGTTCTAGCCCGGGGGACAGGGAGCCCGCCACTAAGAACGGCTGCGAGGAGACTACTCAGCTCAACTAAGTTATTCAAAACTCGCCAGTTTTAAAACTCCTTTTTGTAGTATCTAATGTTTGAAATTTAATATTATTATTTCAGAATTGAATTATTTGAACGGAAACTGATTATTTGAATTTATTTGATTTCGATTTCTCACTGTTTCCTTGTTATCTTGCGAGACTTTCCGTCAAACCGTCACTTGATCTAAGTCAGNATAGAAGTGCTGCTTTAACTATAGTAGTCTTTAAGCTCCCGACATTGCTCATTGTTCAAACGTTTACTCGCTCCATAGTCTAGCCCGGGGGACAGGGAGCCCGCCACTAAGAACGGCTGCGAGGAGACTACTCAGCTCAACTAAGTTATTCAAAACTCGCCAGTTTTAAAACTCCTTTTTGTAGTATCTAATGTTTGAAATTTATTATTATTATTATTTCAGAATTGAATTATTTGAACGGAAATTATTTGAATTTATTTGATTTCGATTTCTCACTGTTTCCTTGTTATTTTGCGAGACTTTGCCGTCAAACCGTCACTTGATCTAAGTCAGTACCCAGAATGAAGGCGACACAGGGCCTGATATATGAGACGCGCTGGCCCGGTTTGCCGAGATCTCGGTTCGTCTTCAATACCAAAGATTCCGACTGTGCGATTACATGGAAAGCGAGCCAGGCCGGTTTGCCGAGATCTCGGTAATCCGCGATCCCGGCAGACCGGGCTGAAAATTTCTCATATAATCGAAAGTCAAGCGGGCCGCTGGCCCGCTTTAGTGCGCCCGCTGTCCAGAAGTATGTCAGCTGTTTTGCGTACAACACATGAGTGCAAGGACGTCACTCGTCGTAACTTTGCCTTTCTTAGCATTTTGTTAATGCGATGTTACTACAGAAGCTATTACGTCATTGATTAACCGCGTTCTTTGAATCATATAAAGTTGCAGTATTCCATGATACTGGAAAAGCAGTGAAAAGAGCATACAAAATTGTGTTAACAATATGCGAACAAATTTCCTTATCCTGGTCAAATTATTATCTCTATTTTGTGGAGATTTAAATTTCCGCGCCAATCCTTCGCGGCAAAACTTAATTGATTCAGCTGGGGTACCCCGGCTAATCCTATCTCATATAATTGCGAGATGGGATGAATAAATAATGATCTCGGTAAACCAAGCCAGCCCGGTCAACCGGGCCAGCCCGCTTCACTAATCAGCCCCACACTTGTTTGTCCTATTACATAAAGTAAAGGTAAGCGCCTAAATCGGAAGCACTCAATAGAGGATTCGTACGAATCTTTTCGCATATATAAATTGTCGGTTTATTGATTCTGAACAGTGTACCGAAATCTCGGTAAATGAATTCTCGCTGGCCTCTCACCGCTGTGGTCCGGGTTCTATTCCCGGGCACGGACAATATGTGAGTTTGAGTTTGTTTGATGTTCTCTCCCTTGCCACAAGGGTTTTTCTCCGGGTCCTCCGCTTTTCCTCCCTCAGTACAAATCAACATGTGAGATATGTTGTGTGCTAAAATACTTAACGTAGAGGTAGTGAGTGTGAGAGTATAGGGCTCGAAGTAATTGGCTCACGATGTTGCGGTGTCCCTGTGGGGTAAAGCTAAATAAATGTTTTTTAAGTAACAATGCGCTAAAGAACTAGGGAACTCTCTATTGTTCTGCGGCATAGCAAGTTCCCCATGTACGAATGTCTTGGTTTTCACACTGATTATGTATCCATCTGTGGGTAACACATTTTTAACTCGAAGATTGCGAAGCAATCGAAGAGTTATTGGAG